AACAGGGTTTGGTCTTTCCCGCATATTCTCCCAGTTTTCACGTCGATTATCTGTACCTTTTCCCCCAGTACCGATTGTTTTATATCTCCCACTTTTGGAAGCGATCGTTCGGACATTGCGTTTTTCTACGTTGTCCAGCTACATCGATGAGAACAACTCACTCGACACTTCCTTCTCAAATTAACGTTGTCCAATTTACGACGTCATCAAGTTGCAATCGCATGTTCGAATCTCCAGAAATGACGTCATGATAGAACGATGTGACATATACCACGCAACCTTCTTCATTGTTCTTTGTGATTTATAACATACCTATCCTATATATTATGATAAAACACTGGAACCATTCGCAAGCAAACTTTGTTTCGAAAGTGACGTCACCATCTCCATCTCTCATATTTTTTTATCACCGACAGACCTAAATAATCTATCCACCTTTGATTTCAAATATTTTGTATGATAATCTCTGGTTAGTGTTTTTACAGTTAGTTCCATTCCCATGTTGCACTTTTGTATTTGGACCGTTCTGACGACCAATAGTTGTTCGTATTTTACAGAGTAAAAACTTTCCGGTACGACTGATATGCTTTTGTATATTGTAAACATGGGTTAGAGAATTTGCGGAATCGATTTTTAATCCAAAACTGGGTCCCACCGGAGATATCGCTTGTGTGAGATTAAGCGAGATCTACATTGTAGATATCGCTGCAATGAAATTGCATCACAATGCTTTGCAGGCCACAGTGACAGCATTGGTTACCATGACGTCACAATCAAATGACATCACAAATGGCGCTGCTACTGAAGCTGTTAGCAGTACTTTTTACACTTAAGACACTGCTTATTACTGTTTTCAAACTCAAAAAATTGGAAGAATGATGTTGAATGATAAATATAATCACCATCGTGTATTTTGATAACAAATATATCAACACGAGATACTTGATATCAAAAGACACGAGGGTGAGATTCTCTATATAATAAAGATAAAAAGCGGTCTAACTCCTCAAATAAAAAGAAATCAACGACGAGAAATAAGATTTTCTTGGTCTAATGCAAACAGACAAAAAGACGATACTGGATTTTCCAGTGAATATAACAACAATTGTTCAGTGTTGACGTATTTAAGAAAGATTGAATTACAAACAAGAAAACATGAAGCGTGAAGCGAGGTATCAATGCGGCGCTAAATCAATGCTTTGTTTTGAAAAGACAAACTTTGTCTTCCAAGTGCATAAATATTGAAATGATATAAAAGTCAAAGCCAGAGAATAAACAGTCTCGATGATATGCCGGAACAGAAACGCAAAGATAAAACGCTGTGAAGTGCAAACTATTGTCTCGCACTCATTATTGTTGCGAAATGTCCATTTTAAACGTTGGGATTGCCTCCAGCAAACATTTTATCAAACCGATGAAGATACACTTTAAATAAATTCACATTGTATGCATTTCCAATCGATTTAAACCTTTACTGAAATTTGTAACAAGAAATATTTGCATCAACACGGTACCAAAATCAATCTTGTATTCTAAGAGACGACTTTGTGATGAGAGGGTGTTGTTTGATTAAAGTGGAAACGGGCCAAGGATGTGGGACATAATATCAATGTCAACGTTGATTTTGTTGATGGTTCTCTACTGCTGGACGGTACATAAATGATTGCCAACCAAGCGAAGTGCCATATCAAGTCGGCCCAGACTCAGTTTGTCAGGGAGAGGCTATCTGAACGAACACTTCTATGAAGTGCTACCCATCCTATGTTTATCCATATGTTGTTAGGAGTTGACATACTATACAACCACGAGGTACGGTTTTCTCGTCGCCGGCATTAGTGGTAAGTCCTTCAAGCGCAGTGCGTAATACCAAATGGCAGATTTGTTCCTTAAAAAGACCACAAATGATTTTCATCACCTACTAAATACATTTCAACCGATAAATGTCTGACAATAAAGGCCACTGAACTCAGGAATTCAAAATGTTTAGAATTAGGTTTATTGGTTATGTATCAACACTGACAGAATAAAGGTTTTCATCTGACATCGAAATGCTTCCTGAATCAGTGGAAGGGAATTGGCTCCTTGAAGGTTATTGAACGATATCAGATCATTGATATCCCTCAAGCTTAAGTTAAACATCTTGGCCAAATTACCTTGTAAGCTTGCCAATCCAAGCAGAAATTCCGATTCATATGCATAAGAAAACAAGATCAGCAAGAAAGGGAGCACAATTGGTGCCCATGGGGATGCCTACTTCTTGCCTAAATATTACATGGATGTTATCAATGATCAAGTTTCACATATTGTTTTCTCAGTTAACTTTAGATGACATTTGCTTTCATTTTTGACATATCTGAAGATAGAGATGTACACAACTCTATATAATGTTATGCCACATGGATCAAGGAATTAAGTTTCTCCTGAAGTTAATTATGTGGGATAGTGGCGTACAGAGTTGAAAAATCAAATGTTTCAGCACAATTGAACAAGGTACTGTGGAGTTTTTGCGAATCCACACGGCATTAATTCAACTTGCCTCAAATACTTTTTGTGAACATAGAGTCGATCCTTGATTGTATTAAGGTATATGGTTTGGACAAGCAAAACGCCGTCACAGACCCAGACCTATAAATTCCATTGTTCGGTGCTTACACTGGCGACAATCATTCTATTAAAGACACTTCCAGACATGGAATCCCAATTGTTCATAAACAAGTGTTTCTCTTTGTTTGTTTGTTGTTTAACCCCGCACTCAGCAATATTCCAGCTATATGACGGCGGTCTGTAAATAATCCAGTCCAGTGATTGGCATCATAAGCATCGATCAACGCAATTGGGTTTGATGACATGCATCAACAAATTCAGCGAGCCTGACCACCTGATCCTGTTAGTCGACTCTTACGACAAGCATAGTCGCCTTTTACGGCATGCATGGATTGCTGAAGACCTTTTCTACCCCGGATCTTCACGGGTCATCAGGTGTTTCTACTCAAGATTCAGATAATAAAGAAAGTTTGATTTGTGAAGACATAGTCCATGTTAGAACTTCATGTAGCATGGCAATAACACATTAGTACAATTACTTTGATTAACTGAACCTTACTCTATTCGTAAAGGCGTTTGTCAGTGATTGTGTTTTCGAAAATCGAATACTAGAAGTCCTAACGATCGTTCTCTCGCTACAGTGTTCTTTTCCTTTCATTGAAACATGACTGGCCTAGACAATATGAACACTGCACTTCAGCAGAAAGTGAGAGCATTACGAGAAACGCAATCATCCTCATGAACATGATCAATACTTGAATGGGGTCGGGTTCGGCAACATGTAAAACTAATGGTTTCGTTGTCGCGAGGGACGAATGGATTAGTATTGACTTAAATATAATTTGAGGTGTGTATTTTTCGGTTTGGTGACTTTTTAATGACTTCAGTTTTTACCGGTACAGCAGAATGTTTGTTTAACGTGTAACGTCCATCTTCTCGAGGCAAAGGCGTCTACTAGCCTTTTATCAAAGTCTGGTGTATTTGTTTGTTTGTTTGTTTGTTGTTTAACGCCGCATTCAGCATTCCAGCTATATAACGGCGGTTTGTAAATAATCGAGTCTGGATCATACAATTCAATGATTGATGTCATGAGCATCGATCCACACAACTGGGATACTATGACATGCATCAACCAAGTCAGCAAGCCTGACCACCCGATCCCGTTAGTCGCCTTTTATGACAAGCATTGCCGCCTTTTACGTCAAACATGGGTTGCTGAAGACCTTTTCTATCACGGGTCATCCTCACAGGTAAAGTCTAGGGTAGAGCCTAGGCTTTGATATAGGCCAGTGGACGCGTTTGTCTCGGGAAGATGTGTAACGCCCGTCGTCAATATTGAGGTTTGTATACACCTCTTTTATGTTCCTCCATTACCCATGAATGTGGAAGGACGATTTGAAGTGTGGTCGCTATTTTTACCAACTATTTAAGCCATGGCCCGGTTCCACCTAGAGGAAACCAGAAAGTACTTTGTCCAATGAGCGTTTAGATTACATCGCACTAACGGCAATAGTTCTCGGGCAATATGTGCCACAGGTTTAAGGCCATCTGACTGAAACTGACACACGTCACTACGACACCGCAAAGCGGTCGTGTATATTTACGGGTGATGGAGGAAGGTTTTATATACAAACGGGTCGTATAAAACTCCGCTTTCAGCAATATTTCAGCTGTTTGACCTCTAATAATTTTGTCTGGATTAGTCAATCCAGTGATTAATATTAACAACGTCATCGGGGTACGATGCCCGGCCACCCGATCCATTAAGTTGCTCTAAACGACCAGCACATGCTGTTGCGAAACAGTTCTAACACCGAATCCTGACGGACGGTTGATAAATGACACCCATAGCGACTCGTACGACAAGCATTGGTTGCTAGGTCAATTCTATCGTAGAATCAATCCGGGTACATGTTAATTTGATGCCTTTCTAGATTTGTATATACAACCTCACAATGTAATACTGAACGACACAACTAAAGAAAAAAAGCCAAACGTTTCTAGAACATTGCATTTAATTGCTCCTACAATAAGCTCCGATGTTAGGATTTCTGGACATTATACCCGCTAGTCATTGAGTCGGCGAATCAATGTGTCAATAATTTTCCACTGCATACAGTATTTCACATTGTATCGTGGCGTGACAGCCTAACGTAGTTTCTTGATGCTTTTCCGCGTTGGTGAAACAACAAACACGGGTGTGGTACTGACGATATATAAAAGCGACAAAACCATTTCCATATTCAATGGAAATCTCTGCAAAGGTCGATTGTACGATTCCGTCTATATCATGAGCATGTGCTTATGAATCACATGGTGATGATACCAGGTGTTCGCGATAAGGTGGGCGTATCCTGCCCCACTGGTGACACCCGTCACAAACACATGCAAAGGCAAGTCAATGGTTTACCTGAAAAAAAAACACACGCGAACATATGGTACAAGTCAAAATAGACATCATTTTTGTCTCTGGTGCGTCAAATTTGGAAATGTCCTCCACATGTCTATCATTAAACGTTTGAAAGCTTTACTAACGCCTTGAAATCAAGAATCCCAATGAAGGCGAATTGGGCTGGAACGCAATGTCAGCAGATCCAGACACGACTAAGGGAGTAAACTCTGAATAGGCAACTTGGTCACTTGGGCTCCCTGTGCCCTCTTACTGGAACCACCTGGTATATTGTGGCAGTGAACACATTTAACCAAACCAAAGCACTGGAGAAAATTTTCTATTTTTGTCTTCGACATTGACTTTGTCCAGAAGCAAGCCTGACATTCAGCACCTCTTGTGGTACCAATTCCAGCTTGGAGCGTGGACTGGATCCGAGCCTGGATTTGACATGAGTTCGCAATGTCCCTTGGAACTATCGAGTTCTGCTTGAAAGTTAAACCCGGAGCAACGTGGAATCTGGTCACAAGAAAGCCCACATTGTATCCGAGTTCCAACACGTTGACTGAGCGGCGTCCCTTCAAGACGGTGAGCAGGAGTTTTCGAAAAGAAGGATCCGGTACCTGCGGAAACAGGAGAATACGTGCCACTGAAAATAAATGTTTTACATAATTTGTAATAAAATTATCCTAACGGTATAACTTTACACCTGATTCACCCTGATTGTGTTTCTAGGTGTGTAAGCATCATGCCGTGCTAGTGGTGGTAAATACCTAAGACATGCATCATTTCTGTCTTTCCTCCCACATCAAGCTGACACCAAGCTGTCAGAACCTACACTGAAACGTCGCTCCTAATTGTAATAAAAAAGTTGTTCATCCATAAATCTTATCCTTACTTATTTTCTAGAAGCGAAGAATTTCCTTTTTTAGTCCAAGCGTCTTTAGCCTATAAGGCTCAGTTTTCATTTCGGCCTGTTGGTCTTATTTCAGTGTCCAATATACTTAGAGTTTTGAGTTAATTAACTCCCAGACTTCAGAGCTCGAGATAAGCTTTTGGTGTTGTGGGTATTTTACCCATGCATTTTAAAATCGTTGGGTATCAGTAATTTTATCAGGGTATTCAAATTTCTGTTACCCACTAGTTGTTACACATGTGGGTATTTAAGTTAAATATTTAAAAACACTTTTCATCTAGTCCCTGCAAACTGGTGTCGTGTGGGTTCGAGAGCTTTATAGGACTCAAAAATACCACGATACTTCAACAAGAAAGTGTGATGGCAAACTGTCATCGTGGAGTTTGGCAAGGTTGACGGAATGCCCGTTTATAATTTCAAAATAAGTTGCTGATTTGCTAATCGATTACGCAGGGTTACTTCACAATATTTTGATGATACGCACAAGTTTTATTTTTGTAGCGTATCTGTAATGTTCGTTGCGTATTTGATACGCTTGGATTTTATTATACTGTGTATTTCTGCAATCGCAGCCTATCTGGAGCTCTGACTCCCAGACTTAATTGGTTGTCTATTGGTCTTGTCGAGTGTCTTATCAGAGTGCTGTTTTTGCCGTCTTCTATAAGAGCCTGTTTACAGTTGCTTTGTAAACGAGCTTCTGTATTCTATCCAATCTGATATTGTCTGTTGTGCTTTGTTTTGTACAAATGGATCAATAAATGTACGTTGTATAGATGTAACAAATACATTACGTAACTCTCAGGGAAATCATAACCTACTTAGATATTATGGAAGTAATGATAATTGATTGTCCATCTAGTGCAGATTGGACTTACGTGGACTTGTGTCGAAATCAAGAGAAGACTCAGTTGCATATATCTCCAGTTCACAGAACTGCAGAGCATCATCAAAGCGCATCTCATTCTTCTGTATCCTGAGGTACTGTCCCCTTACTCTCGAACCACAAGGCAGCACCTCCCGGGCCCCCGCCCCGACAGTCCCGGGGTACACAGCGCACACCTTGGCCAGGGTTGTTGGGGTGGTGGTTGGGTCCTCAGTGTACACGCTGATAGTGAAATTATGAAGTCGCCATTCTGAAAAGAATTTAGAACAAAGAGACACATACCATGATAACCATCTTGATAATACGCCCTTGTTCAGCCACAATAGTCTCCTATGCTCGCTATTGTCGTATGTTGTCGCTGTGTAGAGTTGCGTCCCTTGGGCGAATTAGGAACATATGATAATCGGTTCCATTCCCAGATTCGCCCTGTTTATGTTTTTTTTTTCAGGGAGGATGGACACCACAAACATTCAACATGATAGTTATGAATTAAACAATTTAGGCTGCGTGAAAATGCTGCTCAGGCACAGATGTTTCAACAGTGAGGAGGGAGGTAAGACATTATTGAACTCGGCTCATTAAATACAATGTTGCTTGTCAAGTATGGATAGCAGAGTCTGCTTTATGAGACGGGTCAAAACAATGACTGACGTGCAAGATTAAAAGTGATGTGTCGATGCCAAAGAAACATTTTATCCTCAGAAGAGTTACTTACGAAAAGCATCCGCTCGATTAGTAATTGCTACTAGTTCAACACAATACGGTGCCTGGAGATTAATTTGCCACCATGGGAAAGGGTCTGCCGGAGTTTCCTCCCCTAACACACATGACCCTCCACCAAAGCGTCCATCGAAGTTGCCGTCATTGCCTCGTTCGGGTACACCGCCATAGCTGTAGTGACTTGATGACACTGGCTTCGACTGGGCAATATTTTCACTCGTTGCTTGAACTTTAAGTTAAAAAAATGTTACAAATTAATGCAAAGAGCCACGTTTACATCATTTACATAAATAAAACGTCTGACATTCCATGGCTGCTGATAGGCTGTTAAAGAAACGAGGCACAGCTCATGTGAATTCCGGGTTAGAACTGGTCCCCAGCATTTCATCGCTTGTCGTTTGAGGCGACTTAAATGGCGCGAGTGGTCAGGTTTGGTGATTTGGTTGATAGCACGTCATCATACCCCAACCATGCTTGACGTGAGTCAGAATATAATAGATCGGCCTATGTGCGCAGGGGGATTTACGGCGCACTTCTACAACTCCGACATGTTATAAATCGTAACATATCTACATACAAGTCTCTTCCTTTATCACTTACCCCCAGATATGTATACTTTATTTCAGAAAACGAGAACCTAGAATGAACACACGGGGTTTTGGATTTCAAAATGGCGACTCCCACGAAATTACTATCAATTTTCGGTCTAGTATTGTAACTGAAAAATGTAGATTGTCCCTTTGCGATATTACTTTGATTGTACTGTACCAAGATAACTGATGATCCATTAAAGAATCTGGTTCTCTAAGATACTCCAACACACGCACACGCACACGCACACGCACACACGCACACGCGCACACACACATGCACACACACGCACGCACGCACGCACGCACACACACACGCACACGCGCACACACGCACACACACACACACACACCTCGTTTATGTCAGATCCGTGTAGCATACCTTCATTACATTAAGAAATAACTGAACAAAAAACTACAAGTTGCTTGAAAATAATTAATTCCTCAATAAACATTCACAACTATATGAATGTTGGTTTACCACAAATCACAACGTTAAGCTTTATAGGATTTGAAATTTGTAAAAGAAAACTCTCGAATTTAAGGAAGAGATCGTCAAAAGTTCAGAATCAATACCAACAGAAAATGTTAATAAAAACTTAATGTGATAAATATTATGTGTTTATAATATAATGACCTAATTGGGTGACGTATATATATTGCGGCTTATTAAACATGTAAGAGATTCTGTTACTCCCACACAATTTATTCATTTCGAAACAAACTATGCCCAAACTATTTGAGTTATAACCAGAACATGTCTTTACATTTGTTGATAAGATTGTAATTGTTCCTAAACACCTCAAATCAGAACGGGGCGGTCGGGTAGCCCAGTTGAAAAAGTGTTCGCTCCTCACGCCGAAGACCTGTGTTCGATTCCTAACATGGGTACAATGTGTGAAGCCCATTTCTGCTGTCCCCCGCCGTGATATTGCTATTGTGGATTTCCCAAGAGAACAATTAAGGACCTGAATAACCAATTCTGTGACTTTTCAGTTAAGGTGAAAATAGAAAATTTCGAATTATTTGTCAGAGCAAACTCTTTATAATATTGATATCAAGGTAAACAAGAAAACAAGGGTTTTTTTAAATCATGGCTTCAGAAAGGCAATACCAAGATTTGTGATGTTGTTAATGAAAATGGAGATCACATATATCTGGATAATTTTAACAGTATGTATCCCCCGAGTATCGCGTTCTTACAATATTATGGTGTATGTTAATAAACTCTATTGCAACACATTTGGCAAAAAAATGTGATATGTGCGGATAACTCTCCAGTGAACCATTTGATTTGTTCTGTAAAGAAACGTTCCAAAGCATATTATTATACTCTATGCTTAGATGAAGGTAATTGCAGAGCTAAGTCTCAGTGGCAGGCTGAGTTATTATCCGATCTGGGGTACGGGTGGCCCAGTCGCCGCGATTCGCTGTGCAGAGTATCGTCCCTTCGGTACGCCAGAAACCTATGATTGTGGGTTCGAATCCCGGTTCGCCCCGATTATGTTTCTAGGTTTGTCAGCATCATACCCGTGCTCGTGGGTTTCACCGAAGCGGTAAACGTCTGAGACCTGCATCACTTCGGGCTTTCTTCCCACATAAAGCTGACACGCCGTGATATAACTGGAATACTGTTAAAAGCGGCGTTAAACCCAACTCAATCACTCACTTATCTGATCTTGGCAGTGTATTTCTCAAAACCCTTTAAAATCAACGCAGGAAACTAAGGTGGCTCCCCAAGACTTTAAGAAATAACATTTTTCTGTGCAAAATCAAACTTAAGGACCAGGTTTATACTAAGTCACATTCCCAAAACAAGTGTGAGATGGACTCTGTCTCTTCATTGTTAAATGAACATAAATCAGAGTCCATCTCACACTTGTTTGGGGAATGTGACTTAGAATAACCTGGTCACAGTTTATGACATTGTTGTCAAAAGGATGTAATAATATTCATAAACCTAAATATTACATTAGAATTAATGATTTATATTTGTAACAAAGATGTTGTGACTGATGCTGTGTTTGATCTCTTAATCATCTCAGCAAAATATTTCTTGCATAAATGTATCATAAAAACGACCTACTTTCTTTTGTACATTTTAAGAATGACTAAAACACCATTCATTCACAATAATGGTATTAATAAGTTTTATATCAAATGGGCAATGTATCGCGGTTTATTCGAACAATAACACATACATATTACAAGTATTAAAGAATTTGTTTCAACATTTTACACTACAATCTTATGAATAAGCCCGTATCTTATGTGTGTGAGTGGTGAGTGAATGTGCGTTTGTATTATTTTGTCAAAAACATACCTGTATCTTGATGTGAATCTCTACATTTTTCCACAGTTTAATTCTGTAGTTTCATGGCCACAAGTACATAAATGTAACTGGGTAACAGGAACACAAAACATCAATTACAAAAAAAGTGAGAATAACCCCGAGTAAGTTAGCACAAACAAGTGCCACAAGCCCAGATACCTTAGAGTTTCTCGCAAAGTCTCTTGCCATTATGACGATGTTCTTCAATATGTTTTTTGTGTGTTTTATGTATCAAGTAAATCTACCTGATTGTAAATTTATTCACAATCTATTCGAAACTCACCTGCTGAAACAAGAGATTCCAAAGTCAGCAAACACGTCCACAGGACCTGTTTTCTGTCATAAGACATCGTATGATAGAAAATCTATGCCCCAAACACACACACCACATCAGAAACAGTGCATCGACGGAAGGATGTCGTGGGCGACCGGTAGGTGACAGCAAGCTGTCTCTTGACTACAAGCCGTAGGTGAACATGAATAAACATTAGTTGAGACCTTGTCGTTGGAGCGCGTGGCTTTAATGATTTATAACACGCTGAATATGAATTAAAAATATTTCAACCAATGGTTTATCCCAATTGTCAGACGCCCCAATCACATGTGACTAGTATCACAACCTAGTCTTACCTACTTAATTAATGAGCATCTCCCAACGATGAGCAGAGAACCCGTTAGATGATACAGAATAACCAGATTATGATTGTGTTTATAAGTTGTGTTTAATCTGTGTCCGGTTGCTTGTGTTCTATAAACGGATATTTGTAGTAGGTTTTTTTCAATGATACAGAACATGAGACTACAGAACATGTATGTTAATTAAATCGTTTGACCTTTAGTTGAGTATATATTGCACCCTTATCAAGTGAAATCAATGCTAGAAAGAATAAGAACACATTAAAAAGATTAACTTATCTATAAAATGGGGGTGGTTAGGTAGCCTAGTGGTTAAAGCGTTCGCTCGTCACGCCGAAGACCCGGGTTCGATTCCCGACATGGGTACAATGTGTGAAGCCCATTCCTGGTATCCCCCGCCGTGATATTGCTGGAATATTGCTAAAAGCGGCGTAAAACCATACTCACTCACTCAATAACATGAACAGAACAGAACAGAACAGAAGTTGATTAAATAAAAAGAAGGCTACAGGCCCAATGGGACGCAAGTAAGATCGGCAGATGGCTATACAAAATTCAACCCAAGGTCCAACAAAAGCTAAACTCAAATGAAAGGAAAATTGAAATTGCTATCTCACGCCTCAGACTCTGTCACAAAAAGCACTATGACAAGGTTTGTTCATCTTGCAATCAGGCTGAAACCTTTGCTCACGTGTTACTAGAATGTCAAGACCATGCCCCAGCCCGGGCTAGGTTAAAACAAGAATTGCAATTAGATCCGCTATCTGTCATAGATCTCCTAAAGCCAAGAGTTGCAAAAGCGAAGGCCAAACTAACTCTATTTCTGTGAGATGGACAGCTACTCGAACGTATATAAACAGAGCAGCCAAGGATAAAAATGAAATCATATTAATATAAGAAAATAGAAATAATATCAATACAAAAACAGAAGTTATGTGAATACCAAACTCACAATAGATATGTGTACCCTACTCACACACAGGAGTCCCAAAGAGGGACAGGTCAGCCGAAATTGCTTAGGAAGAAGGCGACCTCTTAAAACCTTAATGCAACAACAACAACTACAAGCCCCTCGTCTTACAATTTAAAGGTACATGGCGGAAGGAGTCTTATCTCCACTTGGGCAGTTATAATCGGTAATTATTTTAACTCTATAATTGTTGAACTTTGACATATTAATGAGAAATGATACTTATCCCAGATACAAAAATCACAATATCTAGAATATCAAAATCAGGTAATTTTTAACACCCAAAACTTCACACTCGTAACACGTCGTGGAAGTTACAAATGAATTACACAATTGACAACATGTCTTCGGCGTAAGAATACACGACTTATATTTGAATACAAGATTTTCATGGCATTTAGACCTTTACCCGCTAACGCATTTTGGCATACAGAAGAGAAACAAAATTGATTTTCTACTTCTAGCTCTTTACCTTTTACAAACCACTTTTTCCATTTGTGAGAGACCTCTTTCACGAAACCAGTGCGTATAATCCCAATATACATGTAGTATATGTAGGGTCTCCATGCTCGTGTAAACCGCAGTCTCCCACAGCAGCACCCATACCTTTTCAGATTTGACAGATTTGTCAGAAGGTCCTAAGCTGACCCTGATAGACTTTGGTGCTGTTCCCCAACCCAGGAAGGTGCACAGAGAGTTGTACACTGGGCAGAAGACCTCTTGAATATTTGGATGCAGTTGGACATTTGCTAAAGCTGGGTTGAACAATAATATTTTGGTTCTCTGTTATTTGTGTAGGTCTGTTCTACTTTACATAAATTAAACAGGTAATAATTACTAGTACATTAAACCTAAACTAATCCAGGTGTAAGCCATCTAACAATTGGGCCGTCAGACAATTGGGAGGTTACCCATTCAACTTAACTTGAAAGTGATCGATAAACAGGCCTAACTTGTTTATATAACACCACATCCTGTAACATAATTGTATTTATAGTGTAGACATCACGCAGAAACAATACAAATTACACAGTAAAAAAACCGTGAAGATCCGGGGTAGAATAGATCTTAAGCAACCCATGCTTACCGTAACAGGCGACTATGCTTGTCGTAGGAGGCGACTAACGGGATCGGGTGGTCAGGTTCGCTGACTTGGTTGATGCATGTCATCGATCCCAATTGCGTGGATCGATGCTCATGATATTAATCATTGGATTGTCTGGTCCATGGACTCGATTATTTACAGACCGTCGTCATTTAGTTGGTATATTGTTGAGTGCAGCGTTAAACAACCAACCAACCAACATAGTAAAAAGCTGAAGATAGTATGACATCAAATACATGACACACAGTTGACTGAATTGTATTGTCTTTTATTGTGAGCATTAATGCACAATGGTGGTCATTATTCATGTACATTTATTTTAAAGACTTTTTCACAACTAAATTATATTCATAATAACCTTGATCCAGCAGTATGGTAGCTGAAATTCAGAATTCATTATATTTTGTCTTTTAACAGAATACTCGTGGGTTTCACCAAGTCGAAAACTTCTACCACCCGTAGATTTACTCCAACATTAATCCGACATATCTTGTTTGTTGTTTTACGCCGCACTAAGCAGTATTCATGCTATTGCGGCGGTCTGTGAATAATCAAGGCTGGACCAGACAATCCAGTGATTGACATCATTAGCATCGTTCTACACATCTGGGATACGATGACATGCATCAACCAAGTCAGCGAGCCTGACCACCCGATTCGTTTAGTCGCCTCTTACAACAAGCAAAAAGGGTTCCTAGGGGCGGTCGGGTAGCCTAGTGGTTAAAGCGTTCGCTCGTCACGCCGAAGACCCGGGTTCGATTCCCGACATGGGTACAATGTGTGAAGCCCATTTGTGGTGTCCCCCGCCGTGATATTGCTGGAATATTGCTAAAAGCGGCGTAAAACCATACTCACTCACTCACTCACAAAAGGGTTGCTACAGAACAATTCTCACCCAGGTCTTCACGGGGTACTCTGTTATAACTAAACTACTGTTCAGAGTTGTTACCCATTTCACTCACTCACTCACTCACTCACTCACTCACAAAAGGGTTGCTAAAGAACAATTCTCACCCAGATCTTCACGGGGTACTCTGTTATAACTAAACTACTGTTCAGAGTTGTTACCCAACTCACCCACTTACCCACTCATACTAAACGTATATTAATTTCAACACTTCATGAGACGATATTTGAGCGGTATTGTAGCAGTTGTAACCAGAAATCTATGATCGTGGGTTCGAATCCCGTTTCACCCCGATTATGTTTCTAGGGTTGTCAGCACCATACCCGTGTTCGTGGGTTTCACCAAAGAGGTAAACGTCTAAGACCTGCATCACTTCGGGCTTTCCCCTAACATTAAGGACCGCCTCCGTGGTCTTGTGGTAGAGCGTCCGCCCGGAGAGCGGAAGGTCCGGGGTTCGATCCCGGGCCGCGTCATACAAAAAGACGTTAAAAGATTGTACTTGTTGTTACCCTGTCTGGCGCTCGGCATTAAGGGGCTAAAACAAGGACTGGTCGGCTCGGAGTCAGTATACTGTGTCTGAGTGGGGTATTCATGTTAAACTGCGGCATGGTATCTCAGTGAGCTAGCACTATAAATCGGCATCAGTCCGGACTAGTACAAGCAGCCACACACACACATACACGTGCATGCACGTCGCTATATAAGTGCAATAATCTTGGACGCGACGTTAAACCCAATTTCACCTCACCTCACCTAACATTAAGCTGACATGCCGCGATATAACTCGAATACTATTCAAATCGGTGTTAATCCAAGCTCACTCACTCTCCAAAAATGAATGAATAATAAAGTCCTTTTTAGGTTACTTTCGTTTATTGACATAACATGCAGTTCAGCTACAGAACATACAGAATATATTATGGACAAATATATGACTTATTTAAGTGATATTGTTTGCACTTAATTTTCGCAGTTGTTACATGTGAACAAATATATCATCAGTCTAAGTTTTAACAGTTCTTTTCACATGTAAGACTGGAGTGGGACCTGGTGTTGCATCTTAACCCTGCCTTGAACATTTGCATTCATTTGTCTGACACTGTTTGGCGCTTACTGCACAACTACATTTGGTAACCCCTCACCATCGCATTTGGACTGCCTCACGGAGGCTGACCTCTTCGTTTTAAGACATGCCTCAATGCTGTTATCTGTTGGGTGCACAGATCAAGCGGTTTCTGCTGTAGCGTCCCTTCTGGACACATGTCGTTGTCTCTGACCACTAAGCCCATGATATTAACCACGATCGACGTTGCATTATGACCAGGGTTTCCATGAGGTGAAGTGAGGTGAAATGGGGTTTAACGTCGCGCCCAAGATTATTGCACTTATTGCAAGCGATGTGCATGCACGTGTGTGTGTGTGTGTGTGTGTGTGTGTGTGTGTGCTTGTACTAGTCCGGACTGATGCCGATTTATAGTGCTGAGATACCATGGCGCAGTTTAACATGAACACCCCACTAAGACACAGTATACTGTCTCCTAGCCGATCAGTCCTTGTTTTAGCACCTTAATGCCGAGCGCCAGACAGGGTAACAACAAGTACCATCTTTTAGCGTATGACGCGGTCGGGGATCGAACCCCGGACCTTCTGCTCTCCGGGCGGACGCTCTACCACTAGACCACGGAGGCGGTCTGGGTTTCCATGAACATTCCCAAGACGACTACGCTTGAAAATGTGTTCAGCCTGTGCAAGTTGACCATCTGGACTTGGACGTTCAGTACAGTGGTCCTTAGCTGAGCCTCAAGGTCTTCTTCGGTCTCTTCAGATTCTGACGTTTTCACATGTCTGATGCAACGATGTCGTTTGAGAGGACTAACGGCATCGGGTGGTCAGACTCGCTGACTTGGTTGATGCATGTCATCGTAATCCAACTGCGTAGAACGAAGCTCAGGATGTCAATCACTGAATTGTCTGATCCAGACTCAATTATGTATTGGAGAAAACACGCTTACGAGGTTTTGGTAGACAGAGCATGCCCTGGGGAGAGCACTTGTTTAAAAGCACTAGTTTTGAAACCTCGCTGTCCTTTCACCAGAGACTCTGAAGTGATGTTGCTTTTAAATGTCCACGCGGAACTGTACACATGACATTCAATTTTAATTGAATTAGTGAGTGAGTTGGGTTTAACGCCACTTTTAACAATATTCCAGTTATATCGCGGCGTGTCAGCTTAATGTGGGAGGAAAGCCCGAAGTGATGCAGGTCTCAGACGTTTACCACTTCGGTGAAACCCACGAGCACGGGTATGGTGCTGACAAACCTAGAAACATAATCGGGGCGAACCGGGATTCGAACCCACAATCATAGGGTTCTAGTTTGCCCAAGGGAGGCAACTCTGCACAGCGAATCGCGGCGCCTTAGACGACTGGGCCACCCGTGCCCCCTGTAATTGAATTAAAATTTTGAATTGCTACCTGTTGTCAATTTTTCAGTTACTTGGTTAAACTTTGGATTTGAGGTTTTACATTCAAAGTAAAACCTCCCGAACGAAAATAAAACCTCTTCATAGGTTTTACTTTGAAAGTAAAACCTCACAATAGGTTTTAATGCCTATAGAAAGAACTCTCTTCCTTAATAGAGATCCCAATAAATAGGTTTATAATTACAGATCACCGTGATATAGCTGGAATGTTGAATGTGGCGTTTAACAACAAACGAACAAATACCGGTTAGGTCTGTTCTGTGCAACAGATAAATGACGACACACACAACTGTAGAATTATACCGTGAGGAATTAAAAACAATATGTCATATGGTGTAAGAAATATTCATTTATAAGTTTGATAAAAAACCTCCTCCTCGACTGACCCAATATCCCGATGTCCAAGGCTTACATTCTCTGTCAAGAACTCGGAATGGGTTTTTATCCCCTTCGTAGACGCTGTTCACGTTAAACAGAAGGAAAGCTCACATTCAGCACCTCTTGTGGTACCAATTCCAGCTTGGAGCGTGGACTGGATCCGAGCCGGGATTGGACATGAGTTTGCAATGTCCCTTGGAACTATCGAGTTCTGCTTGAAAGTTAAACCCGAAGCAACGTGGAATCTGGTCACAAGAAAGCCCACATTGTATCCGAGTTCCAACACGCTGACTGAGCGGCGTCCCTGCAAGACGGTGAGAGGGGGTCATCAAAAAGAAGGATCCGGTGCCTGCGGAAACAGAAGATACACCACGATGTATTAGGTGGCTGATAATACGTGCCACTTGAAAAAATAAATGTTTTACATACTTTGTAATAAAATTATCCTAGCGGTATAACTTTACGCCTGATTCACCCTGATTGTGTTTCTAGGTTTGTCAGCATCATGGCGTGCTAGTGGTGGTAAATACCTAAGATCTGCATCATTTCTGGCTTTCCTCCCGCATCAAGCTGACATGACGTGATATTACTGAAATATATAGCGGCGTTAAATCCAGCGCATCACTCGCTTATCACGTTCAAGGTATTAACTGTAGCGTTACAGAATTTCATAAATCGATCAAAATTAGGCACGTTGTATAGAGTGAGTGAGTATGGTTTTACGCCGCGTTTAGCAATATTCCATCAATATCACGGCGGGGGACACCAGAGATGGGCTTCACACATTGTACCAATGTCGGGAATCGAAGCTGGATCTTCGGCATGACGAGCGAACGCTTTAACCACTAGGCTACCCGAACGCCCCTACGTTGTATAGATGCAACAAATACATTTCATAATGATGCAGGGAGATCTAAAATTTAGAAGCGATGATAATTAGTTGAATGTAGCTTGCAGGTATTTTCGTGTAGTTTGGACTTACGTGGACTTGTGTCGAAATCAAGAGAAGACTCAGTTGCATATATCTCCAGTTCACAGAACTGCAGAGCATCGTCAACGAGCATCTCGTTCTTCTGTATCCTGAGATACTGTCCCCTGACTCTCGAACCACAAGGCAGCACCTCCCGGGCACCCGCCCCGACAGTCCCGGGGTACACAGCGCACACCTTGGCCTGGGTTGTTGGGGTAGTGGTTGGGTCCTCAGTGTACACGCTGATAGTGAAATTATGAAGTCGCCATTCTGAAAGAAATTTAGAACAAAGAGACACATGTCATGATAACCATCTTGATAATACGTCATAAGACGGCCACAAGATTTGCCTGTTCTCGTTATGGCCTTATGTAGTCGCAGTGCAGAGTTGCGTCCCTTAGGCGTGTAAGGAACCAATGTTAATGTGTTCAAATTCCAGATTCGCCCTGTATATATGTTTTTCTTCAGAAACAAAACGTGTGGGGCGGACAGACCAAGTAAAAGGTAGTCACGAATCACAGGGAGACAACTCTTTTTTATATTAATTCTTGTCAGGCGTTGCCTCACCGACAGAAGGACGGTAACTGTCGTGAAGCAAAACATCGGATTTCAACGGTAACTTCAACTGTCTGACTATAAGCAGTCAGAAATATTTCATGCTATTGAGCGTAGGCCAGTGAATTTTCAAATCATCGCTGTGATGGTGGCCATTTTCATGCTATTGTTGAAGCCCATTTCTGGTGTCCTCCGCCGTGATATTGCTGGAATATTGCTAAAAGCGGCGTAAAACCATACTCAGTCAGTCATGCTATTGTTGCATCATCGAGTACAGACGAGTAGTTGTCTACAGGACCCGAGAACCGCTCCTGGCTTCTGACTGGTCGAGAGGATCACGTGACCTCTGTGACGTCACATCCGGTCACGTGACCTGCGCATGCGCGCGGGGCATGATGGGACTTGCGTGCGCATCCAAGATGGCGTCGCATCCGTTTCCGGTGGCGCGCGAATCCAAGATGGCGTCGCATCCGTGTCCGGCGGCGCGCGCCTTCAAGATGGCGTCGCATCCGTGTCCGGTGGCGTGCGCCTCCAAGATGACGGCCCATCCGTGTCCGGTGGCGTACGCCTTCAAGAGGGCGTCGCCTCCGTGTCCGGTGGCGTGCGCGCCTTCAAGAGGGCGTCGCCTTCGTTTCCGGGGAGGAGGGATGGGGAAAAACCCGGAGAAGCGCACGTAAAAGGTGAACAGGATCGACATTGAAAGAAGCGTGTCAAAAATCTTTTGTTGTTGTTGTTGTTGTTGTTGTTGTTGTTGTTGTTCTACACATAGACGTGGGGGCGGGGGTGGTGGTGGTGGTGGTGAAGGGAGGGTGGTGGTGAAGGGAGGAAGGTGGGAGGAGGCGGGGGTGGGTTCACGGTGTGGGGATTGGAGGGTCGTCAAAGCAAAGGAGGAAAGCTGTCTTTCGGGAGAGACGGGTGGCCCTGAAAAGGGCCGTTGGAAAACAAACTGGAAACAAGCTGGACAAGTGTTGTCACCTTGATTACATTACTTTCCTTGATCTCGATACTAGATAATAATACGGACCACCCCAACAGTCGGGTATGTCAATTCCGCGTTGAATAGTTTGTTGGAATGCTGACATAGCCTCAGACTTGTTCTTAAACCAGTGTGGGCTCTGCGATAGGATCGTCTCCGATTCACCCCGTGGGTAGCCCACTATTGTCCACGAATAGACTTTCATCCTCCGCTGGCATTGTTGACTGTTGGTCTGGCACGTCAGACAGCTGCATCGAGACGACATGGTTGATCTCTCTTTCAGTGCTCGACTGTGACGGTGTGCGTGGCTTCGCTCTTTTTATAGGAGAGGCACTGACACCCTGCTTCCTGATTGGTCGAAAACGCATCGTGCTGATGAGTTCGTTCCGACACTTGGTCTGAGCCCCGGTTTTCTAAATCGGACCGACCGTTGTGTTTCTTTTTTTCATAAGAAATTGTATCGGTCATGGGAGAGATAGGAAGAAAAAAATAACAGATAAAAGAGAAAGGTCATGCTTGAAAAGATCAGTTGCCTGGTGTCAGTCAGCCAGAACACAGGATGGCATCACATGATGATGAAGAGGTCATGACCAGCCCTTTGACCCTACGCCATCCTTTTACGATGTTCATTGCGGGACCCACGGGATCAGGAAAAAGTTCCTTTGTGAAATCATGTATGGAGCAGATGCATTGCCCCGAGCTGTTGGATACGTCACCCCATCGCATCGTGTGGGTGTACAGCGAATGGCAACCGCTTCATCATGAACTGGAAGAGATGGCAGACCGCTTAGGGGTCGCTCTTGAGTTTGCCCACAGCATGAAAGAAGCGGATCGTGCCTTGCCCGAAAAAGGGGTGGCCCCACATTGGCTGGTCATCGATGATTTGCTGGGGGACAATACGAAAGAAGAAGAAACCGAAGTGCTGCGATGGTTCACCAAGAAAAGTCATCACCGAAACACATCTGTGCTGTATCTCACTCAGAACTTGTTTGCTCAATCGCCGCAACATCGCACCATCAGTCTGAATGCTCACTACATAGTCCTCTTTAAAAATCCGAGAGATGCATCGCAGATCGACAGTCTGGCTCGCCAGGTGTTTCCAGGCAAAGTTCCTTTTCTGCGTGAAGCCTATGAAGACGCTACCCGAGAGCCTTACACTTACTTGTTCTTGGACTTGAAGCCCACCACGTTGCAAGACCATCGCGTACGCGCCCGCCTGTTTTCGAGATCCGAATTACCCCTCGTGTATGTGCCGATCCTATGAGATGAAGAGACTTTCATAAAAGGAGGTGAACCCTCAGACCTTCCTTCAGTTGACCTACATCCATCATGGGGCAAAGACGGAAACAGGTTCATCCTACGAAGGGAAAGAACAAAGACAAAGAGATGGTGAATGATGTCTATGACAGTATGGTCTCCCCCTCATCGCTACAGGGACTTGTGACCTCTGTATTTCACAAGACTCCTTCACCTCCAGGATCGTGTCCCTCTTCAATGGTACCCATGAACATACATCGTCAGCAGCAGCCATCACCACGTCCTTCAACATCATCAGCACCTTCGCCACCCTCGTCACCACATGTTCTTCAACGCTTTCAACCTCTGCAACAGCAACAGCAGCAGCAGCAGAAGTCCAAGCCAGGTCCGTCTTACTCTTCGATGGTACCCTTGAACAAGCATCGTCAAGAACAACAACGGCCTTCCTCATCAGTACCCTCACCCCCACTCGATCTTCAACGCTTTCAACGTCTGCAGCAGCAGGAGCACCCACAAAGGAAGAAAAAAGACAAGAGACCGTCTATTTTTCCGACAAGGGATGCGACAACCCTTGCCGTCAAAGGAAGAAATCGTCTTTTGCAGTGGTTTGCGATTGTCGTGCGGAACCTGAGAGCAGGACACATCCCATTGAAAGCTCAACATAAGACGTGGTTGCAGAGACATCATGATACCCTGACTAAAATTGTCAATCCAAGTCTGCCTATGGATGAACGTCTTGACTACCTGATGCAACGCAGTGGTAGTGGAACACTTGCAGGGGTCTTGACACGCATTCTGTTGCAATGGCAACATTATCTTCAAGCACCACTCCTCAAACAGGGTAACACCAGGCGTCACCGACCTACAACAACAACAACGATGACTACTAAGCCAAAAGATAAGGCTTATGAAAATGTCATGAAAGCATATCAAGCTGATGCTCTCAGACGATTGGTGCACATGCGGACCCAAAGAAAGTCCAAGAAGGCAGATCAACAGTTGCAACTCCCTCCTGCCACTGCCTGATAAAAGAGAGAAGCTGCAGATCAGGTGACTCATTCAGGCTAACACCTCCATGCAAGAAAGATGTCTCAGTGCCTCAGGAAACAGAAACATGCTCTGTGTCATTTGTGTGCTGCCGCTCCAGCGATGCGCAAAGCCATTCTCAAACATGCTCCTACTGATCTCATCCGTGCCCTTTGTGAATGTGTGGTGAACTTGTATGCAGGCAATATTCCCATGACCACGACGCAACGTCAAAACTTGCAACGACACGGTAAAGTCTTGAATACGCTCATGAAAAAACAAGTACCTCTAAGCAAGAAACGTAAACTTCTTCAACATGGAGGAGGATTATTAGGAGGACTCATACCTCTTATTGGTTCTGCCCTAGCCTCTTTGTTTGGAGGAAAGTAATAAATGGTCTGACACCGGGAAGGTTGGGATCAGTGTGTGGTGTGCCACCATGAAGTACGCACGCAAGATGGTGTTGGTGTCTGAAGACACATGGCAAAGTCTACAGGCCACCAAACAACGTCATCGTCAGACACTTCATACCCCTCTCTTGGAAAAGAAACGTCTCCAAAATTTGGAAGAGATGGACGCGTTGATGCAGAGGTCACAGCAGCCTTTTCACATGCGGGAACAAGAATACAACCAACTGTTGCAACACATGCTAGAGTTGCAGCGCCAACAGCACAACAACAACAACAACAACAGCAACAACAACACCATCAAACCACTACAACCCAAAGTGACACCACCACTACCACCGTCATCACCATCAACAATGGACACCACAGGTAGACCTGCCCCTCCTCAACAAGTGATAGACGAAGTGGTCATGAGTGTTCCTAAAGCCATGTCCAGTAAAGCCATGAATTTGATGACAAGGATTCAAAACAATCCCGACTTGAGTTGGACTCCAGAGGGAACCCTGACCGTGGAAGAGAAACCTGTCCCTGGCACACACATGGTGGACTTGATCAACGATTTAGTGCGTCACCGGAAAACCAAAGAGGGACCTGCAGGTTGGACCATTTTGAGTCACCATTTGGCCAACAGTCATGTCCCTCATGAAATAATTGGAAATCCTCAACGATGGCAATGGATGCAGAAGCAGCAGCAGCAGCAACACCATCCTCATGCCACACCAGAAACACCCATAACCCAGTTCTCCCTCCCCACGTTCTCCCCGCAAAGTCACAAAGAGAGAAGAAGAAGAAGGAGGCGGCAGCTGGATCCACAAGCGGAAGAAGAAGACGAAGAAGAAGAAGAAGATGAGATGCCACCCCCACCTCCTTCGTGGCAACTGGATCCACCAGTGGAGGAAGAAAAAGATGTGATGTCAACCCCATGGTTGATGACTCCACCTCCATCTGATACCAAACAGAACAGAGTCATCAACAGGCGAGGTTCATGGATACCCTTTAGCACCACCTAAGAAAAAATAAATCTCTCCCCTTCTCTATAAAAAGGCCATTCATGTCGGAAGTGGCATCAGTCTGAGAGAAATGAAGCGACAGACCAAGACGCGACAGCGCATTCTTCCCTCTGCTGCTGCTGCTGCAGGGAAACAAAACAAAGGATTTCCTACTTCCCTTTGGACGGCCTGGTTGGAAAAAACTTACTTTCATCCTGAACATCCTGCAAGTTTTGGAGGCTGGCGACCTTTGTGGAAAGCAGCACGCATCCACGCTCAAGATGCAAGAACCAGTAAAAGCAAAAAGAAAACCATGCCATCGCAAAGTCAAATCAAGCGTTGGTTGCAAACCAAAAGTACCTACACCTTGCACAAACCAGCCAGACGCTCCTTTCCGAGAGACCACTATCGTGTGGGAGGGGTCGATGAACTGTGGCAAGCAGACTTGAGTGACATGATTGCCTTTCAAGACGACAACGAAGGATTCAAATATCTGCTGTGCGTGATCGATGTGTTTTCAAAGATGGCATGGGTGCAACCCCTGAAGGCCAAGAGCAGTTCTGCTTTGACCGAAGGTTTTCAAACCTTGCTGATGCAACAAGCCAAAGATCGACTCCCTGCTCAATTGCAAACAGACAAAGGCAGAGAATTTGTCAACCGTCCTTTCCAGGCTCTCATGACGAAGCATGGCATTCATTTCTACACCAGTCAAAATCCTGAAACGAAAGCAGCCGTGGTGGAACGGTTTCAAAGGACTCTGAAAAATAAAATGTGGCGATACTTTACACAGCATGGGACCAGACACTATTTGAAAGTCTTACCCCAGTTGATCAAGTCGTACAACCGTCGTGTGCATCGGACCATTGGCCAGCGACCTGTGGACGTCCTCCCAGGAGATCCCCTGTCAGAAATTCGGGTGTTAGACTACATGGAGGAAAAACAACAACAACAATGGCTTCAGCGCAAAAAGAAAACAACAACACAAAGACTGTCGTCCCCCAAGACAAGATCCCCCTCTCTTTTACTGCCGGGCACCCGTGTACGTCTGAACAAAACCAAAGGCACCTTTGAGAAAGGTTATCTCCCCAATTGGACCACTGAACTGTTTATGGTGGATCGGTTGGTGACTGGGAGAACACATCCTGTGTATCGGATCAAAGATGATCATGGTGAAGTCCTCCAAGGAACTTTTTTACCCTGAAGAAATACAACCCATCTTGAAAACAGACGATGTGTATGCCGTGGATCGCGTGCTGAAAAGACGTCCAGGACCAAAACAGGGTCAAGAAGAGGTCTTGGTGAAATGGACTGGCTACCCTGCCAGTTTTAATTCGTGGATCCCTGCAGATCATTTACAGATAAAATAAGGAGCATGCTGTCTCCCAGACTCATTCAGAGGGTGGACACACGCGATGACAGAACCGCCGACACCACCACCACCACCGTCATCACCTCTGCAGAGAAGCCTCTCAGCATCCGTGGGTACCGATGAACCACCCCTTGCTGCTGCACCTCGTCATCACCAGCGCCGACACTCACCTTGGTGTTGTTTTGGCATGACGTTACCCCGCAGTGAAGTCGTGTTTTTTGCTCAGATCATTGTGATATATGGCGTGATCATCATGAGCATGGTACAGTTGGCCTTGGATCACGGAGAGAAACAGTTGTGGACAGCCCTGCTCTCCAGTT